CGCGGCGGGGGACAGCGGGGGACATGTGTCCCCCCCACGAATTTTCAGAAGGGAACATCATATCAAATGTTCCCCACCGATTTTGGATCACTATGATTTTGTGTGTAAGTGTGTGTGTGTCGTGTGCTGTGTGGTGTGTGTGTGTGTGGCTGTGTGTGTGTTTGTGAAGTGAGAACCTTTATTGTGTGTGATAGTGCGTCAACGATTGGCTTCTTTCCCTTTTTTTGCCAGCTTTTCATTTCATTCAAGTGCATTTGAGAGCATAATAATGATCATGCACAACTTAAGAAAAATGTGTCTTGATAAATTTTAGTACCGTTTCTTTTTTAACACGTTTTTTTTCTTAATTAAATAATTTTTATGGCAGAAATCATCAAGCAGAAAGTATGTTTATGAAAGTTTAGGCTATATCATTCACATTAGACACTGATTCAAGGATTAAGCTTGGCAACACGCAGCTATATTTCACGCAAAGAGGACACTGAGTAACTGGCATCGGTTTTAATAATGTATTTTCATTGCAAATTGATTGATATATATACACGCATTATGATATGACTGGACGACCAATAAAACGGACATTTATTTTGTGATCAGGCCTCAACACCAAATGATTGGTTTTCTGCTTTTTGTTTCTTGATTTTATGACTGCATCGTGACAACTCTTTTCGTAATTTATCACAAACCAAATGCATGTGTGTGTGTGTGTGTGGTGTGTGTGTGTCGGCGGTCGGGTTGTGTGGTGCAGGGGCGTGTTAACAGGGGGGGGGGACAGTTCCAGGGTCCGGACCCCCCTTGTCGCCGGCAGAGAAAAACGCATCTGAGGGGATCTAATTTCAAAATTTATGGGAAAAGGGCCCCAGACCCCCCTTCGCGTGGCTCGCAGTATGGTGGCCCCCCACATTTTAAATGGATTTGCGCGCCTGCCTGGAGTAGTATATATACTGCATCTGATCTCACACCCATAGCTGTATAGCTGTAAATAATATAACTCGCGTGTGGCTGTATATATATATATATATATATATATATATATATATATATATATAGATATATGCGAATGGCTATCAAACATGGCACCAAACAACGTCGTAACGGTTGTGTTAATGTAGGAAAAGTCTCTTATTTAGATGGTTGTTAAAATTCTTATGGGTGTATGGTGGTGCCTCGTGTTTAGAGGTAAGGCGGGGGACCTCGGTATGCTTATATGTGCTTGCTTGACCTCGTGTCTTGCTATATTGTAGGACCTCCTCTATATGCTTTGGAAACCCCTCTTTGACCAAATCCTCCTAAGCGGTGATTTCTGTCTCTGATATGGCCATCGTGTACCATTCTAGGTATCCACATACCTTATTAACCAAGATCGTTTGACCAGCGAAGGGTGTTGGATTCGCATGGACTAATATAATGTATAAGTGGAATTGCATGGCGTTAGGACGGTCGATATATGAGTTACAGTCAGGGTATTACAGGTATGACAATCTATTTCAGGCCCTCCCAACTATCAAAAAGTACATGGCGTCAGATGAAGTTCATAAAGGCTCCCCTCAACGGCAAGATGGCGAAGTTTGGCAACCAGTAGACCTGTGGGAGATCACGAATTCGAATTTCGACAAGCTTTGGATTATCACACACAGGCCTGAATCTGTGACGTTCATCGCCACCATCTTGAATGGACTTCGGGACAAACGCTCGGAACTGTCGTTGGAAAGATTGTTTAAATGGAAGATTATTTTAATATTCATATTTATATTTATATTCGCCTAAGCCTATAATTGGATTTTGAACTACAGCCTACGTTTGGTTTCATAATTTATAGATATAGGAGCAGAATGCCTATGACTGTGAATGCAATAATATTGGGATGTGCGAAGTTAGTTGTTACATCTATTTATGCTTATGCATATGTTAGGGAACAGAGTTTTGTCAGAGTGGCTTGAATCACAGATGTTTGGTATACGCCAGTCGTTTGAAGCAAATCAAGGGTAGCTGAGCAGTTTTTCGTGTTTTGTGTGACCACAAAATTCCACAATTAGAAACAAATTTTGCAATATGTTTGATGAATTTAAATTCATGCTGCGTCATTCCATCTGTGTATTGCAGCAGTAGTGAAACGCATGGTGTATTCACGCATAATCCTGTCTGGAAGGCATGTCTCCCTAACGCCTAGGCTGTGAGAGATTCTTTGATAATTAATTGTGGTAAGGTTGGCGCTTTGCGTGTCTTGTTACAGGCAAACAACGTGTCCAAACGGTAAATGATATGCAGAGATGTGCTTAAAGTCAGTGTAGGGTAAGTCCATACATGTGATCATATGAATATTACTAATATTCACACAGTGGAGCGGGGGTAGCAAAATAAAAATGGTAATTTCATTACAAAACGTACTCATGCACTTTGTCTCTACCTTGTCTATGTTGCTATGCTAATGTGAAACTGCTACAGAATCATAACAGGAGTTGTAACACCATTGCAAGGATTCCAATTTCATATATTTATATTATATATTAGGACATAAACTACTTGTATTACAACAGGCGTACGTGAGTCGTACGTATCTGCCGTACAATAATCCGTGTGGTTCTGTCTGCACGGTGGGACGGGATGTGCGTGTGCGTCGTCGTCGTCGTACCTTGAACCTTACGGTCATAGATAGCCTATATACACACGGCGTCTAGTGTATATAGGCTATTTTATGATCCCGACAACATGCTATATATCTCGCCTGCTGGATAAGATCCTGACCTTCCGTGTATAAGACCCTAGACTAAGAGAACAGGAGCGGATTAATATAGTGGCAAATGCTAGGCAAGTGCTACACGCCCCGCCACATGCCAGCTGATATTATGAGAGCCTCAGGTATCACACCCAAACTTCCAAAGCAGAATTTGTATAATAAAGCTAGTTATTTCCTTAGATGGGTCCCCACTGTTCAAAAGATTTATACAGGTCCACTGCTGTGCCTGCTGCTGCTGCTGCTGCTGATGATGATGATGATGATGATAGATAATGATGCGTAGCGATAATGATGACGACGAGACGACGACGATGATGACGACGGGACGACGACGATGATGACGACGGGACGACGACGATGACGACGACGGATGATGGTTATTTACAGGCGATCGTAAAATCCCTTACGCTCACCTCACCTCACCGCACTCGATTCATTTTCTGTGGTGTTTAAGCCAAACCACGTGCGTCACGTTTAGTCTTGTTATATGCTAGCGGGTACCGGTGTGCTCGCGGGAAAAAACGCTGCAGCCTGTTATAAAAAACCTAATAAACACAGAAATACAGAGATTATATATATATCTTGCTATAATTTATAGCTATTCTTGTGTGAAGCATCTTTATGCCGTGGTCGGCGCTAGTGTCGCGTCGCTGAACACGGTTGTCCAGCGCCGAAATTGAAAAGAGTAAAATCAGATATAAAAGCCAATAATTTACATGTAAATAAGCGTCAATATCCTCAACAGCGCTGTGTCTTATGTGTCGTGCATAGACCATGAGCAGTGAAGACCAAACATTAATAAATAGATGTAGATATTTATCCCGTGACTCCGTGAGTCTAGTCTTCTTGCACCATGGCCCCATTCTCGGATATTGGTATTCAGAGGGTGAGTTACATGATATCGATGATGATATCAGGAGTAGATAATAGGGAATTCCTAATTATCTACTCCTGATGACTATAGTTACATATACAGTTAGTTTGTTACACAATATAGTTTCCTGCAACAATGCTAGGCAGTGGTATTCAACATGTAGAGACAATGTATACAAATATGTATATCCAATGTATATAATTGTATACAGATACAATATGGAAAGGGAATGTTCATGATACAATGTGTAATCCGTGGCGTATGCTATGTATGTGCCTGTGCACGGCACTTGGAACAACAATAATAAAACTCTCTCTATTCTTGTTGTTGTGTGCACAGGGCGTCTCCACAACCAGGGTCCTCCACAACCAGGGGCCTCCACAACCAGGGTCCTCCACAACCAGGGGCCTCCACATATTTCATAAAAAAACATGTTGTAAGGAAAAATGTAGGCTGACCTGAACGCCACTCATGCACGTATCAATCAAAACCATATTGCTCGCGTTTTACGTCATACATACGCAAGCCATATTGTATTTGTTTGTGAGTGGTAGAAACAGCTAACTGGTTGTTTACCTGTCATTGCTCAGCACACGGCGGCAGACAAACATCTTAAATCTAACGTAATCCATCTCAACGTCGATTTTCTTGCTTGCTTATTCAGATTCTTTCTACTTAAAAGAATTTACTTTATGGATGACTGTAACTATATGTCTTGTCACATTTTAGTTTTTAGTATTCTAAGCTAGGGTACTACTGAAGGCTGCCCAGGTGCCTAAATCCGGCCCTGCATAGTGTCCTGTGTATAATCTTGAATTGTTCATTACATTTATCTCTATGAAAAATGGCCCCTTCTCGTGGACTGTGAAAAACATGCATGGTTTTATATATATGCAGTTCTTATTCCACTTACGCGCGCTACCTCTCTACTTTACTACAGATTGAGATAACAACAACGAACGTACATATATACATAAAGCTAGTTCTTTACTTACAGTTTCGATTAACTCTGGATGTAATAGTCAAGAGATTCTTTAAAATAGTTTTCATATGATAATTATGGTTTCAGCTACCTTACTACGTTGATGGAGATTTAAAGCTAACCCAGAGCAACACAATTATTCGCTACCTTGGAAGGAAACACGGCCTCGGTATGTACATTAGAGAGCAACAATGGATATCTATATGTGCATATGTATTGACTATTATGACAGAATGAATAAGAATTTCCATGAATGAGAACTAGTTGCATATCGTGGAGCGCTCCTACTTAATTTCTGTCTCTCAGCTGTTAGTAAAGATGATGTTATTCGAGAGGACCTTGCTTTGGATGCGGCTGGTGACTTCCGGACAGGATATGGGCGTCTGTGTTACAGCCCACTGTTTGTAAGTGTGCCTTGGCACTTGGATGCACGATGAGATCATCGAGGCTGGATTGCACTGTGCAATACGTGTTTTACAACTAATCGATACATGAAATAAATACTGTTTACTAAATGCGAGAGAACAGTAATAATGACTGATTGCTAAACTTCTTTCTAGTTATCTGTCGTCAACTAACAAACTGTTGTTGCCAAGAATTATGTATGAAAATTGTTTATGTATAAATGCATGTTAGTTGCACGAATGTATGTGCCATTGGGAGAGCCATGTTTTTTTACAACACCAATAACCACTTAATTATATCTTGTTATTGATCATGGTTGATGTACAGTCCTCAAACACTGTGTTGGCATAGCTTTGGTCAATTTTTTTCACACTTAGTACATTGAACGTATTTGTTGTGCCTGACTTGTGTACGTTCTGTGTAGTAATTTAACTAGTGGCTGAGGATTCTAGACACTAGCTGTATCTCCTAACCTAACTTTACTTAATAAACATTTCAGGGAGGTGAGATAGAGAAAAAAAAGGATTTTCTTGTAAGAAGTATTCTAGGATTCCTTGAAAGAAATAACTTAATTATTGTATTTGGATTGAAAGATGCAATGTTTGAAATGTAGTTGACCCATACTATACATCTATATGCGCTTATGTCGTCTTTACGTAATTATGATTAGAGTAGATTAATAAACATTGTCATGTTTATATCATAATGTCTAACATCACACAGAGTGACTAACCACAGTCTGCACGATTGCATGATTGTAGCGGCTAAACAGAAGGGAGCAGATCAGGGAGGACATTCTTGTAGATCAGTCTTTTGATATACGTATGGGATTCGCCATGACCTGCTACGCTTTTGGAAAAACATATGAAGAATTTGTAAGTTGTTAACTTACACCTGCTGTAAAATCGTTTTTATACATTACGTATCTCTGTGAAAAACTATACGCAATGAACATGGTTAGAAGTATTACTGTTCACTTTTACTTGTCTGCTTGTCTCTAAATCTCAATTGTTTCTTTTTCCTTTTTGTTATATTGGTACTATAACGACTTTTTCACATAGGAACGAATGAAGGAGGGTTATCTCAAGGAATTACCTAGCAAGCTAGGTGTTTGCAGAATTCCTTGGGGATAAAAAATGGTTTACAGGCAAAAATGTGAGTAGAAATTAAGCTCATTCAAAAAGCTTTTTGGGGGCAATTTTAACACTTACATGCAAACTTCTGCATCTCTCTGTTTGTAAACATTGCCCAAATTATCTTTAATTCTAGATTTAATAATCTTTCAATTTATGGATCTTAGTGCAGTTTGATGGGCATGTGTGTGTAGATACATATTAAATTTGAAATAATTTTCTGAATTTCCTCTGTATATTTCAGCTAAATTTTGTGGATTTCATCATATACGAGCTTCTTGACGTTCACGTTGAATTGGAACCAACGTGTCTCGATGAACTCAAGACACTGCAAGCCTTCAAGCTTAGATTCGAGGTAGTGCACGTTGTTGTCATTCTGTTCCACGTTCATTGACTCTGTTTTTTATTCATCTCTACTCATACACCAGTGTACTTGAAACCATGGCGAATTTTGTTTGCAATGCATCTACTCTTTTCTGGGCTGCCCTGTTGCCCCCCCCAGTACAGGAAATTCAACGAGATTAGTCTTCGGTATCGGACTAATGGTGTTCGATCCATCTCGCACGAGTTCACGGGTGTAGTGCTAACGAAACTGGTTACGCTTGTACGTGATGTGATGCGTATAAGTTCTGGCAT